ATGGTCTTGATGAACCAGTACACAGAGAAGATGGTATTTAGTCTAAGACTTTGAATGAGGACCTCATGCTAAAGGGTGTCATGAGGTAGTCAGGGTCCTGGGCAAAGACCCTGCAAATGGGAAAGGTTCCTATGTCAGAGCCTGTGTCTCCACTCAGCCAGTTAGTCACAGGGAGCCCTAAAGCCTGTAACAACTTTAGATACCTTATCATAGTCACGGTGGTTCACAAGATAACTTCAACTACCAAACTATGGTACAATCTATTGGCTCTGCTTCCTCCGTTCTGTTAGCCTGCTCCAGACTACATCAGCACCATCTGACTGAAGAGCTATGAAAAGGCCTTGAGCAGGCGCATTTCATGGTCTGTAGTTTACAAAGACTCCCAATGGCACAAAGAACAAACTAGTGATCTGTAGCTTTCCTTCAACATATGAAGATTTCATTCCCCAATGCATATGCCTGTGGGCTCCACTGAGCCCATCACACAGAACCAACAAGATTTGGGCACCCGCTCAACTGCCACACAGGACAACATGGATATGCAAGATCTCTCTCAAGAGTAGAATTTATTTTTACTTTTTGCACACCTCAAAGTATAGGGATAACAAGAGAATGGCACGTATTTTTCTACTTATCCCCCACTTCAAGAATAGCACGTGGTCATAAGTATGACCTCTCTAAAGATTTGTTATGTTCTATTTGCTAGTATTTTATTGTGGATTTTTGCATCTATGCTTATCAGAGATATTGCCCTACAGTCGCGCTCTCTCTCTCTCTCTCTCTCTCTCTCTCTCTCTCTCTCTCTCTCTCTGTGTGTGTGTGTGTATGTGTGTGTGTGTATATATGTGTGCATAGTTCCTTATCTGATTTTGGTATTATGATTATTCTGGCTTCATGGCATGAGTCTGGCAATATTCTTTTCCTTTCCATTTCATGATAGACTTTGAGGAGTATTGGAATCAGTTCTTCTCAGAAGCTCAGATAAATTCAATGGTGAATCCACCAGGTCATGGACTTAAATAAATTGAGTAATTTTAAAAAATAATGATCTATGGCCCAGGAAGCTGCTATATTAGAGTTCAGACAGTCTGAGGTTGCTATGACTCTCATTCTTCAAATATTTTTATTTCTAATTGTTTTTGCCCAATTAAGTAGGAAGTTTCAGAAGGACAAAAAGAGAACATCCTGTCCATACTATTAACTGTAACTAAATCTAGAAGAGTGTTAAGACTGACCAACAGTTTAACAATCATTGAGTACACAAAGAACTTTGAAGATTGTCAACTTAACAGATAGCGTTCATGCTCTTCATTTCTCAAACATGATGCATGGGTAGATTTGGCTTGAAAGAAAGAGAAATTTGAGTGGTATCAGGATAGCAATTCTTTAGGGCTCCATTATTTTCGGTTGCTCACTGTTCCTCCTGTCAGACCTGAAGAAGCACCAGCTACACATACATCAAGATAAGAACCATGCTTCCATTAATGAAAAGGAAGGGTTCACTGGAAATCAAGGAATCTTTTGCACTACACAAGGTAAAAGGGGATTTTATCTGGTTTTTGATCATCTGGACAAGCTTACAGAAAGAGAAAATTGTTATTTATCTTAATGACAGAAAAATGCTATTTCATTGCATCAAATATACGTTGCAGCTGCTTAGATGCGTTGCTCTGAGCCTGGTCAGCTTAGGTATCTAAGACAGGTACTGTACTCATAAACAAAACCATTCTGAACACAACCAGTTTGCAAAAGGCAACAGAACTTTCAAAGTGTACATCTGTCTAAATGAATAATAATTGCAGGATAATACAGTTAATAAGCAAGTGTCCACTCACATTAAGAAAAAAAGAGCAGGAAAAACAGGGAGAAACACATTCATCGGGTTCCTCTTTTCCAACATGGATGACTCCAAGAGAGAACAGAGCTCACACCCATGCCAATGCAAACCCGGCAGCATTTCAGGCGTCTGGGGGCTGCACTGTTACTAATTCTACCTGTGTAGTTACATGTAGTGGGCCTCCCTGCACTCAGACGTAGGGACTTCCCACCAGTCTGCAGACCACCCAACATAAAACTCCTCTGACTGCTTTTTGTCCTAGTAAAGCACCTCTCAGGAGAAGACGGTGTCTTTTCCACCTTATAAACATGTTTATTTGCAGATACTCATAAAGTTTTACTGAGAAAATGAATGAAAACATACATGATGAATGAATGAATGAATGAATGAATGAATGAATGAATGAGGTTCCATCAGTACCTAGAGTTTGATTATCATCATTACAAGATGTTTTCATTGTGTACACACAATATGAGAGTTGAATCCCCAAGATGACTTTAACATCTAGGCTGATATCCATCAATGAAATATACTACAGTCCATAAGTACTTATGTTAGCATCCCATTCCTGTTACCAATACCTGAGGTAAATCAGCTTATAAGACGAAAAAGGTTACTTTGGCTCAGTGTTTCGGGGTTTCAGTCCACAGTTCCTTAGCACCAGTGCATTTGGTCCCGGGATAAGACAGTCCATCATGGTGGAGAGCACACAGTAAGCAAACTTTTCACTCCATGGCTGACAGGAAGAAAGTGCAAATACGAGAAACTAGAGTCCCACAGTGCCCTTCACGGGCACACGCCCAGTGATCCTTCCTTCCAGTAGACCACCCCCTACAGGTCCACTACCTCCCAACTGTACCCCAGGCTGGTGCCCAAGCCTTTAACACTTGTGCCTTTGAAGGACGTCTAAGGTAAAAACTATAGCAGGAACCCTTAGCAGATGTTCAATGTCTGGCCACGGCTGCCAAGAGCAATTTTTAATCCCACTCAATTTTATCTTTATGGACTCCAAAAATCTCTTGACTTCCCTCTTTCTTTGGTTCCTATACCAAAATACCTCCAGACATGCCTTTTTGTTCCCTAACATCTCACCTACATCTTTTTATCAGTTTTAACTCCACAGTAACTTACAAAACCCAATCGAAGTGCCTCAGTCAATGAACAATCAGTGTTCATGCACCTAAAATCCAAGACTAGGACTGGCATCGGGCATGGGAGTCAGCTGATGCCATGAACACCTTGTTTCACCTTCTCTGTATCAGTCATACATTTTGCATTGTCTGATTATCTGCACTGTCTGATAGGCTCTCCCCTTCAGATTGTAAAGCATCTATAATATCTCTGGTTTATATCTTCCCAAGTCAAGTCTAGTATAGAAGAAAGTGTCCTTTCTCTTAATAAGTTAATAAAAAAATTCACAGTTGACCCTCCTTAGCTCTGACTGGAGCTAGGTGCCCACACATGTACCAGTCACTGTGGTCAGAAAGCAACACTATTAGGACTACACCAGGTTACCCAGTGCAATGCTGCAGGCCAGCGAAATCAATTAAACTCTAAGGCACTGGGGTTAAACATTTCATAAGGCTGTTTTCTCTGAAGTAAAATCAAGGCATCTCTGCCCTACACATACTGAATGGTCCAAATAACTAACACTCATTACAATCCTAAACCTGCTTCTGCATTCTTAGGTTTTGCTTGTGTTATCTGGCCCTCACCCGATTCCACGCCTTTCTCTCTTCTCTTTCTTTCCCTCTTGATCCCTCCACTGACACCGTGGTTTCACCCTTGAGCACCCATCAGTTCCACTGTTGTGTCTGGCTGCCTCTGCCTTCTGATCATTTCTCTTTTGCTGTTTCCTCCCATCTTTTACCTGGGTTTTAACTTACCCCATCACCTTCAAGACTTGGAGTACCTGCTGCCTAGAAGCAGAACTGTCACATCTGCTAGAACTGTTTGCTTTCTCTAGTGAGCCCCGAAACCCTTCATTTTTCATCAGCTTTTTCCTTCTGTTTCTCTAACCCCATCAAAACCAAATGTGCCCAGGGTTCCCCATCCATCTTAGGGAACAGGACAAAACCACTTTCACTGAGCCCTGGCAGCATGCCACCCCGCCCTTCCCCTTCCTGTTCGCTGTCTCCTCCTCACCCTCAAGCTCTCCCTCCAGCTCTCCCTCCCCTCCAGGCTTACGCACTGATTGTTCACTGCCCTTGTGACATGGCACATCCATTTTGGTCACCACCTCTTCTAAATCTACTCCTCCTCTCCACCATGCATTGCTAAGTTTGTGATTTATTCCTCGATCATCAGCCATATATAATCTAATGCTAGAGTAGCTATATAATTTATCAATCAAACTAGAACACGTAAGTCAGTGAACAGGGCAGCTATCTATAGCTTCACCTGGACAGCAGGTACAAAATAGGGCTTTTCCCATCTGTCCTCTCTAAGTAAGGCCTTATTACAGTATTTGAATTTTCCCCACCAGGACCCAGCACTTCAGTGTATCACCCGTATCTGAAGCTTTCAACACCATTTCCCTCCATACACTTCGCTTCAGCCTCTGTGAGCAGTGACTTCACTCAGCTCTTAGCAGGAAATGTACACTGTTCTTTCCAGTTTGTTCCATGCGTCCCTGGTCCACATTCTTTGTCCCCATAAGCTCCTGGCAGATGCTGTGCATTTTCAGTTTTTGTTGTTGTTGTTGTTGTCTTTGTTCTCTTTTCCCTCATTTCTTTCTCCCTTCATCCTCTCCTCTTCTTTTCCCTCCTCCCACTCCGTCTGTCCTCCCTCTTTGGTCCACCTTCTTACCTGTAGGGATCACCTCCCATTCATAACTCAAACTTACTTTTCTCCTTCTATCTGAAGCCCACCTCAAAGTCCATCCTTACCAGGAACCCTGCCATGATTCTGAAGACTCGATGGGCAAAATATTTCTGTCCAAAGTCTAGTATTATCCTCCCTGATTTATTTTCATTCTGCATTATTTACAAGAAAAATGTAGGGCCAAAGATTTAGCTCAGTGGCATAAGCACCTGCCTGGCAAGCGCTAGGTAAGTCGTGAGGTCGATCCCCGGTACCAAAAAAAAAAAAAAAAAAAAAAAAAAAAAAAAAATGTAGAAAATTATTAAGGGGAAATTATTAAAATTTATCCACATATGCTCACATTTTAACTTACAAACATCTTGCAGATAGAATCCACGCCATCTTTATCTGGGTTGATACCAATGTAGCTTTTTTTTTTAAAGAAAAAAATATTTATTTAGCTCACAGTTTTTGAGGTTCAACCAGCCCAGGAGACACCACTGGTGGGGCCTGTGATGGCAGTAACACTGCATGGCAGCTGTTCCTGGCTAAGCGAGCTGCTTACCTCTCCAACCCGGAAGAGAGACAGACAGAGCAAACCTCGGCCCCACAATCCCTTTCGAGAACACGCCCCAGAGACCTAAAGCCCTCCCACTAGGCTCCACCTCTTAAAGTGCCCGTCACCGCCGAAGCGCAGCACCTTTCCAGGTGGAGCCTTTTAGGACGCACGCCCACACAGCAGCGGGAGCTGAGAGGGCTTCGTAGGGAGGATGTTTGCTCTGCGGGGATGCAGCCGGCTCGGGTAAGGAATGCCTGTGTGCATCTCGGGAGTAACAGTGTCAAGAATTAGGGGAGACGGAGGGTAGAGTTAGGGGGCTCTCCAGCAACTGATGCGGTTTAGGGACCTCTGCGCACGCACGTTTCCAGGCCAGAGCTGCCCTCCAGCTTCCCTTTCGGTTCTGCTATCCGCGGTCCGCCCAGCGCCGGAGCGAGCCTGCGCGGCGGACAGGTGCGCCCTGCGCTCCGGGCGGCTCCCCCTTCTGGCCGCGCCGAGCGCGCGCAGGGCGCAGCGGCGTCCCGGGCCCACAGCGGCTGGGCGGGCGTGGGGCAAAGCCGGCGGCCTCGCTGGGAAGAGGGACGCAGCGACGGAGACAGGCTCGGCTCCTGCCTGCCCAGGGGTCAACTTCGGCCTCATCTGCTCTGTTTCCTCCCCGCCCGAGACTCAGAGGGCCCAGCGTCCTTCTCGGGCTTCAGGGCGAGCACAGTCCCGCCTTTCCCGGGCAGCGACGAGGACGCCGACACCGACAACACCGGGACCCCGGCCAGGCCCTGGGGAAGGAGACCGCACTGGGTCCCTACAGAGAGCTGCCAAGAAAGGGCTCCAAAAGCGGGCACGTCTTCGCTGCTGTCAGAACAGATACCGGAGGAGCCCGGCTAGATTGCTGGCATTTTTTTTTCTCCACCAGCTGAACCAAGTGGCTTTGTGGGTGATAAGGATTGGGCAGATTTTGGGGGTGCTTGTGAAGCTGCCCTCCATCCCGGTTTGGGCTCGCCTGCCCTGGACCTTGGGATTCAGTTACCTAGTGGGATTTCTAGCTTTGAGTCTTCCTGACTGCGCGGGCCTCTCGTTCACCTCTCTGAGCCTCAGTTTACCCATCTGTGAACTGGGGGTGTATTACAAGCGGAAAGGAGGACCTGGAGCCCAGGGAAAGCATTTAGCACTGTAGGGAATCAACAGACGCTGTTTCTAGTGACTGGTAACGGTGATAACACGCAGAACCTCGGCTCCTCTCACAAGGTTCAGTTTGTTTGTTTATTCCCTCTGCTCCGAAGGCTAGCGCCTTGCCCAAATTTCAAAAAGTTTCCCTGAAGATCGGTTCCTTTGGGGAACACTCGCTAGTGAGCAGTAATTTATTAACTCAGTAAAAGTGGTCCACGTGAACGTAAAACCTCAAAGGAAACAGAATTCTCCTCTGGTGTTGTTCTCCCCCGGTGACGCGCTGGTGTAGATGACACATACATAAGTAAAATGGAATTCGTAAGGCAAAAAGCAGAGTATTTTGAAAAATTAAAAGTTTCTCATAAATCTTTAAGAAAAAGCATCTGTGTCAACACAATAAAAATAATATCCCAGCCTACTGGTTTTCATCTTCTAGCCCTGAGTAAGCACTAACTTAACCCTTCCACGGCCACTGGGTGGCCAGGGATGGGCAGCTGCCATAGACCTCGGGGGACACAGGTGGACACTCTTCCCCGCTCCATGGGGCATGCTTTCTCCTCTCGTAGATCTCAGTTTTCCAGATAATTAAGAAAGCACCATCTTAAAAATACATTGTGCTATATCATTGTCAAAGATAACTGTCTCCATAATGAAGGAAAGTGTGTAGGGTGTTTTGTGGGGTTTTTCCCCAGTTTGCTTTTAACCATCACTTTACATTCCTGCTCTTCTTCCTTCCTCTGTTCCCATTAGGACGACCCGTACTACTAGGAAAAGTTGGTGTCAACATATCTCTTAAAAACTATGCAGTGGGGGCTGGGGATTTAGCTCAGCAGCATAAGCTCCTGCCTTGTAAGCAGGCAGTCATGAGTTCGATCCCCGGTACCAATAAAAAGGAAAAAGACAAAAAAAAAAAAAAAAAAAAAACTATGCGGTCATGGGCTGGGGATATAGCTCAGTAGTACAGGCGCCTTGCCTGGCAAGTACAAGGTTGTGAGTTTGATACCCAGTACCAGAAAAAAAAAATGCTGTGCAGTCTTGCCAGAGGCATGGTGGCACGTGCCTATAATCCCAACACTTAGGAGACTGAGGCAGGAGGATCACTGCTAATTCAAGGACAGCCTGGGCTACAAAGTGAGTTCAAGATCAGCCTGAACTGCACAGCAAGACCCTGTCTCAAAAAGAAAGAAAAAGAAAGAACTGTGCAGTCCAGTGTTATCCACCTTCCTTTGTAGTCAAGTGGGGCCGCTGACTACACAGTCAATAAGATAAATGAAAGTGTTAGTAAAAGGCTCCTTGAAGGTGGCTGACACCGCAGGGTTTAGATTCAACTCTTTCTGTTTTTCTCTTTTTCTCTTTTTTGCTCACTAGAACATGGATGTGATGACCTGAGCTCCAGCAACTATTTTGGACTACGTGGCAAGCTCAAGAATGAAAACCATGCATTTAAATAATAAAAAAATTATCTGGTAACTAGGAAAACACATAGCAACTCAGAAATACTAAATTCTAGATTTTGATTGTGTGGGGGTTTTTTTAGCACTGGAGACAAATAAACAGTTTTAAGCCATTATTGTTGGGAGGACTCTTTGTTTGAAACAGATGAGCCTCATTCTAACTGACATTCCCTTTTTTCCTCCTCTTGTAGCTCCAGAGTGACTTCTCTGCACTGGCTCATCAGAGGATCTGTCCCTGGAGTTCATGCTACCAAGAGAAACATAGTCAGATGGATCACAGTGCCCCTCCTGAAGCTTTAGATTACTAATACAGAGAGTTTGCAGGAATCTGCTCAGCTGAGTTAGTAAGATGTGTATAAAAACTTTTAATTCTGTAAGATAGAATGAAGTTGAGGTAGAGGAAAAATAGATTTCTGATCAGACACGGTACACTACACTTGGCAACTCATCTCACCAATGTGAGAGGTTGATGACCAGGGTGAGGTCCCCAGGGAAGAGAGCAGCTCCCCGCCATCAGTGCGTCCCTGAGATCTCTAGCACTGCTCACTGCCAGGGGCAAGGATTTCTACAAGGCTGCTCTTTCTTCCATCTATTCCCAGGTAAGTCTGTATTCCCAGTGCTGAGCAGAGTACCCGCCAAATGGTAGATACACAAAGAGCACGACTATTTAATGGACCAGTGATGTCCCTTTCTAGAAGGTCATTAAACCATCATTTCCAGTGCCAGTCAAAAGTGAAGGAAGCTTGCAGAAATCTACCCAAAAGTGATACAAAGATGACGATCATCATCATCACTAATTATTGCTGAGTGCTTCCTATAGACTGAGTCATCTGTTGTTATTTTTTAAAAACTCTGAGAATCATACATGTGCTTGTGGGTGTCTTTCTGTAACTTATGGCAAAATTCCTCTTCCATGCCTCAGGCCACACAGACTCTAAAAAGAAGCCTTTAATCTAATGCCAGGATCACCGGAAGTCCCCCCTCTCTTCAGCTCTCCTGTCCCCCACTCTCCTATTTTCTCCTCCTCTTTTTCCTCCACTCCCCTCTCCTCCCCTCCCTACCTCTCCCCTCCCCTCCCACCTCCCCTGTCTCTCCTCTGCACCCACTAACTGTGTGCCCTCAGAGCCTGAACAGGCTTCCTGCTGCCCTGATGGGTGTGCACCGGAGCAGAAATGCCTGCACCTCTACTCTATCTTTGAGGAGCAGAATAACACGTGTAGTTACTGGGCATCCATGAAGGGAACTCAGCTGTTTACCATGTGAGTTTCTCAGTCAGACAAGGTTGCCGCTTCCTGCTCTGTAGAATAAAAGTCAAGTGTTAAATAAGGAGCAGTATATAACATTTTAGGAGTGGGACAAAAACTTTGTAGAAGCCAGAGCTGCATCCCACTGCTAGACAGCCAGCCAAACTGAAACATTTGGGATAGCCTGGAGGAACGCTGCCATACTGGCCCTCAGAACAGGCCTCTAAAGGGCCTCTGCCCCTTGGGCTGGTCCTCTGCTCCCTGCTCTGTCCAAGGCCCTCCCATAACTAACACTAGTTAAAGGGTCACTTTCCAACGCATGCAAGTAAATTATAGAAAAGAAAAAAAAATTTTAATGCAACTGGTAACTGTTTATTTGGAAAAGTCATTTGTTTGCTGCAGAGGCAGGATTCTTAGTCTGTAGCAACTCAATCCAGACAAACTCCAGTAGCCAAATCTCAATCAAAGATGAAATCTGGAATGAATGCATACAGTTTCTGTAAGTCTAATGTAAGCATTCTTACAGGATAACTTTGCCATTTGTTCTAGACAGAAAATTTAGTGTCAGCAAAATGCAAGTTCTCCCTGTATGAATAAACCATAACCTGGGCCTTCTAATCAAGTGAGGGCTTTAAAGAACCCCAAACCTTCTGCCTTGATTTCAGTGCTCTTGGTGTCCAATAAGCATTAATCACTAGAAAGGGCAAAAATAATACCTTTTTTTTTTTTTTTAACTTTTTATCGGTACCGGGGATCGAACTCACAACCGCCTGCTTGCAAGGCAGGTGCTTATGCTGCTGAGCTAAATCCCCAGCCCCAAAAATAATATCTTGTAAACTAATTTTGTCTGTAATTTTCTCAGCTTATCATATAATTTATATATAAAGCAGGAGATGGAGGAAGCCCCAAAGTTTAACCTGAACTGAACCTGCGAGACTTTTAAGGCTGCCAAAGCATAACCTTGTAAATATTTCCTTATCCAGGTAACTTGCAAGGTTTAAAGGGGAAAAAAGTGAAGACATTTGGCAAGCTTTTTACTCCAACAGATTGGAGGCCTATCATTCTCCCAGAGCTTGTAGAACTCTTAACGAAGTAAGAAGTGGGCTAACTGTGAGCGTATCTGTGAGTTGGAAAAGAGAGAACCATAGACGAAGCGACCGGCCTCCAGGAGCCTGGAAGATCTTGGATGTTCAGCTTCAGTTCCGAGCTTTTGTCATCTAAACTTCTATCTGCAAAGTTTCTAGAGTCTGTGGAACACTATGTGCCAGAGGCTAGTAACTCACTGGCTGGCTGCAGAGCCTACCCAGTGAAGTCCTGGCTCCTACCACAGAAGTTACCATCTCTCTGAATCTCAGGTTTCTCATCTGTGTACCAAGGTAATGACCTCTAGAGTTATTGGGAACATTGCCTAATAAAATAATATAGTAATGCTCCTGCGAATTCAAGTATCACACGTGTTTTCATTGACACAATTTATTGCTACCACAGAACTAGACCAGGAGAGAGATGTGAAGTCCCCACTAGGTGTCATTTGAGTGTCTGTGAGAGCTGCAGTTCTTCTAGACAGGAATAATGCAAAAAAAAGGGGGGGGGGATACGGAATTCTTGCTTCCAGAGTTTGGTGATAAAGTTAAAAAATTTATGGTGGAGTTATGTAAGACCAATACAATCGTCAAAAAGCAATTTTAAAGACAAAGACAAAAACAAAGAGATGTTCTAAGAGAGTTAAAGAAATGCAAAATTCAATTAACCAGTGAGGAAAATGAGCTATCATCTTAATGTGGCATGTGGAATTCAATCTACTCACATTGGAAGAAGGAGTAATCATATGGTCTACCTAGAACCCAGAAGGGGCCAACCCACAAGAGATGATGCCCTTGAAGCTCCCTTGGTTACAAGGGCTCTTAAAAGGGACTTAATAAGGTGGTGAGTGTCCAAAGGGCAGACCCATGTCCTTTCTTAACCGAGCCCAGAGACACATATGCAGCCCTGCTGAAATGCTCACTGTATCTTACTTGTGACACTATAATTTTTCAGTGATGGGTGATTTGAACTCAAGAAATTTGAGAATGTAGTACAGGATTAAATTATTAACATGTTCATTTCAACTTCAAAACACTTTTTAAAATCATTCCGTTGATTTTAAAACTCTCCATTAGACAAGACTTAATTATACAAGCTGTATAAACAGTATTTGGGATTGAAAATGTTGTCAGCTGTAAGAAACTAGTTTATTGACGTATCTAAAAAGTTAGTCTCTGACATGAATGTAAATGCATAATTCAGTAAGGTTCCCAATGTTAAAGGATAGAAAGAATATTAGAATATGTAATAGAATTTAAGAATCACCATCTTTAGAAATTTGTATCTGTTTACTTAGGGCAGGTTTGCCTATGTGGGAAGGCTTTTCTCCTACAAACACAAGAATGGCTTTAAAAGCAAGTTGGATATATTAAATTAACAAAACCAATGGGCGGTATCTAAAAGAAGCTTACTAATTTTTTTAATTGGAATTTCTTGATAAGAGAAGGTCGTTGATTTGTTGACTTAAAGAGACAATAATAAAAGGCTCCTTTGAAAGTAATATTAAAATTGCCAGATTTGTAGGAGAAATAGGAGTTGCCAATTTGTTCACTCAGTACATTTGTGGAGGGTCTGCTACAGGTCAGGCACGTCTCGGGCACTAAAACAGCAAAGAATGGAAGGACAAAAGCTTAACTGCACCACTATATATGGAAGAGCTTCGGGAAAAAGTGGAAGTTATTGAATGTTGTGTTTCATACTTTGGGTACTAATGATAGGACAAGTGACTATAAGTGATCTCTTCACTGCACAAAGTTGCTCCGAAAGGACACCAAATCCCACACTGATCAGTCTGCCCATTCATCCTTGAATCCCGAGGGTCTAGCTTACACACAGCTCTCAAAGCGGTGTGTGACTTGGGTGCTGAATCTTCTCCTGCATGGAAGGCATTCTTTTTGTCGCTCAGAAGAAATTCAAAGGAGGCAAGATTTTACTTTGCAAATATGAATGTCTTCCAAGGTTGTTTACTTTGGAGATATTTACATCTTCAGGTAATTCAGTCAGATTGTGTTTCTCTTGATACCTGAGTTAAAGTACTAAGGGAAGCTTTCTGGTGAAGGGAAAAAAGGAAAATGACTTTGGATGCAGATGGAAACCTGCGCGCATAGGGCACATTTCAGGCTGGGACTGCATTAGTGCGCATGCGTGTGGCTGGGAGCGCTCAGGGCCCTTGGAAGGCTGAGGCAGTTAGGTGCTTCTTATAGAAGAAATGGTAGAACGTGGGCTTGAATTGAACTACCACTGCGTGGCTGAAGAACACCTGTGAAGTACTCAAGCTTTTGCACCTCAGTTTCCTCCTCTGTAAAATGGTCTTATTAATAACACCTTCCTCGTGGATTTCTGAAAGGTATGAAAGACATCATAAGCACACAGTGACACAGGATCTGACACAGGTTGAGTTCTCAGACTTGTGCATGTACAAGGGTCCCCCAATTTACAGCAAGTAAAAACACAATACTTTGGATCTTCAGTATTTCATAACTGCAAACAGCAGTTAGTAACTAAAGAGGCTCTGGGTATGGAGGTCAGCAGTAGAGCACATGCTTTGCATGCAGGAGGCCCTGGGTTCGACAGGAAACCAAGAAACAGTCCAGTTCTTCTTTGGATTCTTTGACATGGTGGGGTGAGGCCCAGGCTTGAGAATCTTGTCCTAACAGCTGACCAGGACATGGCTTTAGTCTAGGGAATACACATTTTATTTTAAAAAGTTATGAAGAAAATGTACATTGTTCTAAATGATGAATTTTAAAACAATCAGTACCTTTTCAAATGTCCAGTAACATACTGGACCAAAATACCATGGAAAATAATTCCTCAAGAAATTTTCTCTAAATAGATCCATGTACACCAAGCCGAGTTATCAAGAGGGAAATGAGTTTAATAATAAACTATGAATCAGAATACGTACCATCCAGGAAAGGCATATTATAAAAAATATTTTGAATATTAATTGACCTCTGGTAACTTTAATTTTGTAAATACTTGTATCATAGTGAGGTAGGCAGTTTTTTTTCCAAAAAAAAAACTCTCCATTAGACAACACTTAAAATTTTGAAATAATATTTAAGAAAATGATAACATTATGAAAGAATGAAATATCTGATTAATGCTTAACTTTGTACAACTCAAATATAAACTTTAAAAATATTAGAAATTATAACATTTGAGTGCATATAATGTTTTGTACATTAAGATGAATTGCATGCTGTCCGATTCCTCTCCAGGCACCTCCAGGCACCTTAAATAAACAAATATATACAGCCTCAACAGAACAACAGTGCATCCAAAAGCAAATGTGCATTTTAAATTATTTCTCCTGGCCAAGTCTCTTTTTCTTCTTATTTAGCATTTTTATATTAGCATTTATTATCATTCCCACTTTTTCTTTGACAGTTTGGACTTCTCTGAACCAAACAAGCAACAGGTTTAGATGGGGATAGAGCAAACCACTTAAGATGAAGCAAAAACTTTTTGTAATAGTTGGCGCCGGTCTCCCGTTTAAACCATTTCATGGTCAAAGGCTAGGAGGAGACTCCTTCTTCAAAGGACCTCATGGGCAGTGCTGGAAAATACACTGCTGCAGACTGGGGGGAAGATCATGTTTTTGACTACCTGGGAATGGACATTTCAAATTTGGATATTCTGGCTCTGGCTCTCTCTCTCTCTCTCTCTCTCTCTCTCCTTCTAGATGGTTCCACCCCTGCTCTTTGCTTGCTACCCATTCCCCATTCTCTACCCCAAGCTCAGTGTAACACTTGGCTCTTTTCACAGTTTCTCATTACTAAGTTTTAAAAACATGGCCTAACCAGTAATTACAATCTAAAACAATTCTTTAGGGGGAGCCCTGGGCTATTGCTGACTGGTAATCTTTCAGGAATGTCAGAGAGACGGGAGGCAACATAGATGTTCAGAGACTTCAGAGACAAGGGCCGGGCCTGCCCCTCCCTCCCCTTCTTCCCGCTGGGGTCTCCCCCACCCCACCCCGCCCCCGCCCGTCCTCCCCTGCCCTTGTGGCTCTCTACTTCTTGGATCCTTTTTCCCTCTTAGGTCTATACCTCTTCCCTTAATTAAATAGTTCCCCACTTCTATCCATTTTTTTAAAATTAGAAAATCACCATCCCCTTAGAAGGAGATGTTTTAATTTTGACAAAATCTGTTGAAAGAAAGCAATTAGAAACAGACAACTCAGAGCTTCGGGGTGGGCTCCCTGCAGCCTGGGCCACCGCAGCCTGTCAGAGGTAACCTTGCGGGTTCTTATTATCCTCCAGGGGGCTCCGCAGGCTCTCCATCCATACCAACTCCCTTTTCCCCCACCAGAAAAAGCCACAGTGAAGGTTGGAGAGATGGGAGCCCTCCGGAGAAGCCAGGGCAGAGGTGGTAAGTCCTGGGAACACACGGATGAGGGGCAGGGCCCGGCCCACCTCTCCCAAAAGCGTCAAACGCGGGACCCTTGCGGGCTTCCCTGTTCATGCGCTGACACTCCCTGCCAGTCGTGAGACAGGGGCTGTGACAGGGCTGCGAGGATCCCACCTTCTTACAGAAGTGGAAACAACCAGGCCAACATGTGCTGATTGATTTTTTTTCCTCCCACATTGTTTCCCTTTTTAAGCTTTTTTTTTTTCCAGTTCATGGAGTAGTTGAGAAACAGGTATGCGTCTCCCTTCCCCCACCTCCCATCAAAACCTGTGAGTCACACAAAGAAATCCAAAGCCACAATAATAATAAAGGCGGGGGGGGGGGGACGAAAGACATCCTCCTCTTGTCGCTCGGGGCTGTCCAGGCAGAGCGCGGATCCGCACCTCCCGGGGCCGGCTGGCAGGTGGAGGGTCCGGGCCGGCTGTGCCCCTCCTCTCCCACCCGCACTCCCGTCCAGGCCGCCACCGCCCCCCACCCCCCTCAGCCTCTCCAAGGCCCGCTCCCCTCCTCGCCTCGCTGCAGTCAGGCCTCCCTGCGGTCCGGGGCCAAGGCGGCGGGGAAGGAACCGCTACCTGCAGCCGCAGGACTCCACCACCATGTCCTCGTACTGCTTGTAGACCACGTTGTTGCCCGCGTCGATGTACAGGATGCTGATGGGAGTCAATTTAGTGGGCACGCAACAGCTGGGCGGCGTGGAGCCGGGATCCATGGAGTTCATCAGCGTCTGGATGATGGCGTGGTTGGTGGGCTCCAGGTGCGAGCGCAGCGGGAAGTCGCACACGCCCTCGCAGTGATAGGCCTCGTACTCCAGCGGCGCGATGATCCAGTCGTCCCAGCCCAGCTCCTTGAAGTTCACGTGCAGGGGCTTCTTGCTGCAGCGCAGCCTCGACTTCTTGCCGTGCCGCTTGCCGTGGCGGCTGGCGAAAGCCGTGCGCCGTCGTCGCCGGCCGGACGAGGGCAGCCACGGCCCGGCATCCGGGGCGCCCGACGGCGGCGGCCAGGACCCCTCGGGGCCCGCAGTCTCGGCCGAGCCCAGCTGCTCGCGCATCTCGGCGAACAGGTTCTTGCGCTGCGATCGGGTGAATACCACGAGCAGGGCGCGCTCCTGCGGGGCGCGCACCCTCCGGCCGAAGCCCAGACTCCGCAGGTCCGGAGGCGGCGGCTGCTGGGGTCCCCGCGGGTGCGCCTGGATCTCCTCGGCGTCCGGCTGGACCCCCGCGACCCGCAGCTCCAAGCACAGCTGCTGCCCGGGATGGTGGCGCAGAACGCGCCACACGTCGAAGACTTCCCAGCCGGCGGGGGGCGCCCCCTGCGGGTCCAGGGTGCGCGCGTCCAGCAGCTCTGGCGACAGGCAGCGCGACAGCTGCACGCGCAGCGGCCCGGTCGGTGGCCTCCAGGGCGCAGCGGGCGCCTGGCGGTAGAGCCGCAGCTCCGCGCCCACCAGCTCTTCTCTGTCTGAAAGCGTGGACACATCAAACAAATACTTCTGTCTCCGGAGAGGAGTGTGTGAGAGATCGTCTGCGAGATAAAAAATAATTACAGTCAGTTTCACTTAGGGGGAGATCAGCCGGGTGCTGTCCGGCCGCCCTGGGAGGAAGAGGGCGGGAGGGGGCAAGGGGTCTGACCACCCCAGGGCTCCCAGCCCAGCCAGTGCTCCGGCCCACACCGGGCAGGCCCCCTCCTCCTCGGGGTCAGCCTCGGACTCCGGGGCAGAGGGCAGAGGGCGGTGGCTGCCGCAGCGGCCGCGGCCTCCCGGGTGACCCCCACCAAGAGGCTGTGGAACCACTAACACGCCCTTTGTGGTCAGGACTCTGGCTGAGCTGCTTTCGCCAGACCCCTTCTCTGCTGGCTCATTCTCTCCATACACGTTTCAATGTCACCATCTCCTCTGAGAGGCCATTGCAGACCACCCTGATCTCTAAGCAGCCTCCCTTGGTCCCGAGCACAGGCCCCGCCCTGGGTTATTTACTCTCCAGCATTTAGGATTATCCGTAATTGTCCGTGTTTGCATTTCTTTGCTTATTGGTCAGTCTTGCCCCACAACTAGGGGCTAGGAAGAGGCACCTAGAGCCCGGGCCCACCTAGAGTCAGCACTGATCTGGGTGGGGTACTCTATAGCAGGGATTCTCAATCTAGCTGCCCATCAGCATCTTCTGAAAATTTAAAAACTACCAGCTGACTTCACTGAATTAACTCAATATGTAAGGCTCTGAAATGATTTAAGGGTGCAGGAAAACTGGAGAGCCCCTGGCCTATGACCACGTTGCTCCCCTGGGCAGTTTTGCTGAGGCATTTGGGCAGAGTGAAGAGCACTTTATGACAATTCTTTCCTTATCTTCCACCTTCGCACGAAATAAAAGAGGAGAGCCTGCCATCAATGAGAAATAGACACACCTGGAAGTAGAAAGCCTTCGCCACAGACATTTGCACACACACACACACACACACACACACACACACACACACATTGAAATTCTCATTGGTTTGTTTGTTTATAAGTGAGGAAAAAAGAAATGAGAGACTCACAGAGGGTAGCAGGCTTTTAAAACCCATGGCAAATTCTTCAGGACCAAGGCAAAACTGAACTTTTTTTTTTCCTTTTTGACACATTAGTGCATGAAGCCAACCCCACTTCAGTGTGCAAGGCGGAAAGCTAACCAGATTTTCCTGGGCTGCTTTCCCATAAAATATTTACAACCCAGCAAATACAAAAATCCCCAAAGCCCCCAGCTTTCCCCAGGAGCTAGTAAAGCTCGGGTGGATTTTAATAGTAAAAGTGTCACTGGGTCCCAGGCCCGACCGTCCCAGCCTGTCCAGATGTAGCCCCAGGGCAAGGGCTTTGGAGCCTCAGCCACTCTGGCCAGTAGGTGCTTGGTGCTGACCGCAGGGCTGGCTGCCCTTCTAACACACATGCCCTGACCTGAGAGGGAGCCTCGAAAGGGTTAGAGAGGGGAAAAGGGAAAAGCCGCTGCAGGCAGTTGATTTATGGAAGCCAAGACCTTCAAACTAACCAGGGTCATGAAATCAGGGAGAATTCAGCCCATTTGCTTCTCATTCTTACTGGACACTGGAGTCTGATTCTGCTCAGGTAGCACATAGATGTCTTGGTCTTCAAAGAACAAAGCATGTGATGAGAGGGACAAGCCTTGGGCATTTGCTGCACTAATGTTGTGAGGGTAGACTCAGTTGTAACCTTTACTTTATCCACATGCTCACAACAGTTTTGCAAGGTAGGTAGAAACTCTTGTTGTTCCCATTTTGCAGATGGGAAAACCAAGACTTGGAGAAAATAAGTTAACTCCCAATCAGACAGCCAGTAAATGGTGAGGCCAAAATCCAGAATGCAATATATATAGATTCAGAATTGAAGAATTTAGCCTCTCATCTCCATTGTCTCACTATTGTAGTCCAGATACCAGACTGGTGTTTAAGGGAAATGGAACAGCAGTCCAAACTATATGCAAGGCTTTCTAGGAATAAGCCTGGGCTCCCTTAGGATATCAGTTCCATTTCTGCCTCCATAACTCCTGAGACAGTGTGTCACTGGCTGAAAAGCATTAGGCATGGATAAAGAATATTCATTTCTTTTTCATGCAACATGGAGAAATCAGCCTGCCTTTGCTTTCCTCCTCTTCCACCTCCTCCTCCTTTTTCTTCAGTGTGGGCTAGTAAAAGGTTAGCTTCCACAGCAAGTCAAAACTGAGGCAAGCACCTGCAGAAAAAGACCGCTGCTGATTCTGCTGATAACCAGGCAACTCTTACCCTTTCCAGAATTCAAGGAAAAATACAATAAGGCCTTCAGATTCCATTCTGCTCCCTTCTCTCCCCACAGGGCCTCACTTGCATGCATGTGGACATTCTAGCCCACAGTGTACACATACCTCACTGGTGGGGGAAAAGACCTAATCAAGACACATCCAGGCCCTGAAATAGGTTCAGGGGTATTGGGCAAGATTGCTGTGGCCCAGCTACCTGGAGGTCATTCTAAGACAGTGATCTTCAATGTCACTAAACCTGCAGTGGTCTCCAGATCTGCAGCATAAATGGGAACTTGTTAGAAATGCAAATTCCCTCAGACCCTGGAGATTTGAAGGGTGTTTGTAGTAAGTTCCCAGGGGATGCTGATTGTACTAGTATAGGATTAACACTTTGAGAACCACTAGTGGAGGCAGACATGTCTGCTAAACTCTGCTAAACTCCCATTGTACAAGGAAGTGCAGTACTGGAAGAAAGATAAAATAAGTTACTCAAAAGCACCAGGCCCAAGGAGCTCTCTCTCTCCAGCTCTTTCCTGGCTCTCAAAGCTATCCTCACATTTTCTTAACCCTTTCAATCTACACACCCTCTCCTTGGGTGTCCAGAACTTGTAGTCCCTAAACAGAGAGTCCAAGAAAGTGGATGGCCCCTACAGCTCTCCACAGATCACGTTCCCTGCCTGTCTGGACCTGCTTTGGAGTCATGCATCTCAGAAATGGCCCGGAAGAGCTCAGCCTGGCACATGTATATGCCACCATGCACTGTGACCAGGCAGACTTTGCCTGCTGATCTGGCATCACAAAGCCTCACCAGTCTGCCACGGGATCTCTGTGGGGAGAACACTGGTCCTTTCCACTACCTGGCACAAGTCTTCTTTCCATTATGTCCTCTATAAATAGGGTTGGTGACATCAAATGATTCCCATTCCTTGGCTAGGAATGTGCACTTCTCATTTCAAAATCCAAGACCCTTTCCTACATCCTGAAAATGGAACCTAAGTGCTAGGCTTTTAAGTTAAAAATGATCTGTAACCTATCATGGAGCTTTTCATTTTGCTTTTAAATTGCACCTCCCTAATTTGCAATAGTGTGTCTTACACCCCAGCTAATTCAGTGTTTGCTAGTAGTGGAACCATGACCCTTTCAAGTTACAATTGCTAGATTCTTTGTCTTTATCTTCTTTCCCTGGGAAGTGGGTGGAGGAGGATGAGGAGAGAAAGGTGAGAAGGAAGAAATCGCTGGCAAATCTAAGGAAACCCTTCCTAAGTAGGTCAGCACGTTGGCTAAAGGCTGTGAGCTCCTTGCTCATACACTTCGGTACACATAGCGTTATGCACGTATACCTCGGATATTGAATTTATTGAAATAAATAGATGGGAGAGGTTAGTCAAAGAGTGCAACATTTCAACTGGTTATAATGAACAGAAGTTAAAAAGACAAAAATTTAAGGGGGCTGGAGATTTAGCTCAGCGGCATAAGCGCCTGCCTTGCAAGCAGGCAGTCGTGAGTTCGATCCCCGGTACCGACAAAAAGGAAAAAGACAAAAAAAAAATTTAATTAAGAAAAGGAACAAAGAAATTACTTGCAAGTAGACACTGTTGTGCCTATTTGGAACACAGAAACTGGCTTAGAAGGCTAAAGGCACTGGAAGAATTCAGAAAAGCAAGTATCAGAGCAAAAAGGAAGAGATGCCCAAGATGCCAAAGGCCCAGTGCCTGGGATCCTGAGACTAGATGGGTGGCGAGGGGAGGAACACACAAACCAGCAGGCTGCTTACTTGGGCCACCCTGCAGGGGATTTCCCAAACCCCAAAATTGCCTTTGCAGGAAGGCATTTTCTAAGACAGTCCTGCATGTTCTAAGACATCCCTGGGATACACACAGAGTTTGAGATCCCTCTTGAAGGGCCTGTCACTCAACAGTCCCAGGGGTGCTCCCAAAAGCTCCAGGTCTCCTGACCAGCAGGGCCCTCTCCCACAGACTCTGGGCTCCAGTCCTTTGATTTCATGGTGATCCCAGATGGCTACTGGCCAGATCACTGTGGAGATCTGACCTATTTACTGCAGGACCCTAACCATGTCTCCCACCCAAGTCCTCCAGAGGCAAGACTGTGAATGAAACAATGGCTCAGAAAGTCCAGGGGAAAGTGGGCTATCCCACTTCCATCCTGTGGGCAGAAGTGGGGAGGCCTAGGATAACCACCCATTTTTGCAAAGGAAAAATCTCTAGATCTTCGCAGTTAAGCCTTGCCTCACCCCTACCTTACCAGTGCTTGCCAGGCAGCTGCTCAGAGCCCAATGGCCTCTCACTAAATCCTTACCACAAGCATCCAGCTATGATGGCCCCACCGTTAAATGTATTTATAAAAGAGTAAACTGAAGCTCTAAGATGTATCTTGTCTGATGTCTTGCAATCAGTAAGAGACAGCGTTACATTTCTTACCTATAAAATGCATATAATAACACCAGCTCACAGAGCCACTGAAGGGGGCAAATGAGATAAGGCGTGGGCAGTTCTGAAGATGTTATAACAATGTCACTCATGAAAATGTGGACTAAGCATAGGAACACAGACTCCAACAGACATGAATTTTACCCCTGATGTGACTGAGTGGCTGGGTGACCTTGGGTGGGCTGAGTCATATAATCTTCCCTAGCATCATATACGCCATCTGTAAAGGGAGTTCAGTTTTACCTTTCGAGGTAGAATGAAGGGACATAGGCAGTGCAAAATGCAGACACTCCTAAAAAAATGCAGTTAATGT